ACAGCGCTCACACCATCAGAGCAGCCCACACCAGAACGTCCCACCCAGTTACAAATACATCAGACTCATCACCACTGGACTGTGGAGACCTCAGAACTTGCGCTGAATGAAAACCTTCTTCATGACCTACAGCAGGGAGGACCTGTGGGTACTAACAAGACCACCTGACCCCCTCTAGTGTCGTTTAACACACCAATGTTCTCCTGCAAGAACCACTATATCACACAGGCAGATGTGCTGGGGTGTCAAGGCCATTTTACTCATCTTCACATCAGTCTGGTAGGTTATGGGTTGGGGTTAGGCTTTACATGCACAAACTGATGGACGTGGAGTCGTTCCTCTGAAGCTTGTCTTCCATCCAGATTTACCCTGCAGAGCTCCAGCTCGTCTCCTTCAGTCTTTGAGGCATCCTCCAGCCTTTCTGGTATTTATCAGATGCATGCAGTGATGCCGCTGTCATGTTTACTTCTCATGAAAAACATTTGTTTACAGTTTTATACAATTAAATCCAAACTGCCTATAAAACCTGCATGAGCAGAAGGTTACGCCACTGCAAGGAGAAGAGCTTCACAAACACAGATAATAATCTGATCAGGCCTTAAAAGAACTTCTGAAAAAAGAACTTCTGACCGGTTTTCCATCAGAGCAGACAACTAACAACTACAGATGTTGTTTCCACAGCAGGAAGCTCTACAGGAGCGCCTGGCCCGCTCAGACCATCACAGGAAGCTGTTTGCTGACAAATGGGATTTGGTGTTGGGCTTGAGCAGCGTTTACTGGTGGATTTTATTAGCTAAAGGAGCACAATATCACGGAGGCTTTCTGCTCCGTGCCTCTCCAGCGGAGTGGAGAGCATTACAGGGAGCAGCAGGAATTCGGTGCCGTTAAACAGAGGCAGGGGACCAGTGAAGAGAGTGGCACTGGACAGCAGATGGAGAAGAGATCCTGCAGGAGATCAACGTCTGCTGGTCTTCACACCAACAGCCACATCAGTCTGGTTTTTCTGTCTCGTTTTACTCAGACTGAGGCGCTCAGCTCATGTCTCACCCTGGTGCTGATGTTCTCATGGCTGAAGGAGCTCCTGACAGGGTTGCTGTTGTAGCCTGGAGGTCCAGTAGGGGGCAGCCTTGTTCAACAAAGCAGGCAGTATGTGTGTGTGTGTGTGTGTGTGTGTGTGTGTGTGTGTGTGTGTGTGTGTGTGTGTGTGTGTGTGTGTGTGTGTGTGTGTGTGTGTGTGTGTGTGTGTGTGTGTGTGTGTGCGCGCGTTCTTTGAAGCTATTTGCTGAATTTAAAAACTTTATTCTAACTTAATGAAATGTTTTATAACGTCTTTATAACGTATACTTAATGAGGTCATTGACAGTTTTAGAGTCTGAATATAGATATAAACGTGACAGAAGTGGTAATCTAGTTTTTTAACATGACTTTTAGAGTTAAAATGAGGTCGTGGTCATGTTGGGATTTGTCATGTTTTAAAGACAAACTGATATCTTGTTTCTAGGTTAAGCTTCAGATTATTGACAGAACCCACGGGTTTAACTCGTTTAACTCGGTTTGCTAAAGGGCACCATGGTAGCTTTGAAGGGTCCAGGTCTTCAGCTTGTCATATTATTGTTGAGTTAGGGTAAACAAAGGCCATCACACATTAATTCAAGTCTGCAGCTTGTTGTCCTCACTTACAAGAATAAAGACAAGATGTGTTTCACTCAGAAGAACAAGACGGTTTAAGAGGCATAACCCCCTTTTACTAGAAGTGAGCCACTTCATGAGAAGGTTGTGATGTGGAGGAAAATATGACTCTGGGGTCTGCAGATGTAGATCTGCTGCTGCTGAGAGAGGAGATGAGTGAGAGTGTAGGTGAGGAAGTGGGGGCTTCAAAACCACAGCAGGTAGAGGCAGGTTTACCTCCCCCTGCTCCCATGGACCTGACATCCTGTCTGTCTGCACACTCTGAACCACCGACTGAAGATCCAGACACTCCAGAGGAGGACACACAGCTGCTCCGGCTTCTGGGACGACCGCTCGGACACAGGTAGGAGAGAGGAACGGTCCGGCAGGCTCGGGTAAATGTCTGAATGAAGTAGTGGTTTGGAAAGGTGAGACTCTAAACATCTAAAGCAGCCGAGCGCTATGAGAGGGTGACCTTCAAGTGCGATCTAATTTTAGAGAAAAACTGAATGAAATTCCTGATTCTTTTCAAAATAACAACATAAATTATAAACATAAACAAAGAAAGCTGTCAGAATGTGTTTGTGAGGAATCTTCTGTTGGGCCTCAGCTGCGTCTGAGCCGTTCTCTTCTCTCAGTGTTGTTGGAAGAGGAGTGTCGGCCATGACAGCCTGGCAGCTGCAGCGCTCGGGCTCAGTGGGAGTCATGTTATCACACAGGACATGGCGGCTGGGGTCAAAGGGCACGGCGGGATCTCTGTGTCACCGAAGCTAAACTCTAGGACAGGTTAGAGTAACAGTAAACAAACCCAGAGGCCTGGGTGAGCGACAGCCTGTAGAAGGATTTAATTATCATAAGAAATGAAACAGCAGTCTGGAAAAGCTGCTGAATCAAGAGGACACGGGTCCGGCTGCATTTCACCTCAGATGGAAACAAAACACAACATTTAGTCTGATTCTTCTGAAGACGTGTCTTCTTAAACTGTTTACTGCACGTTTCCAAATCAGAGACCAGAGGTGGTTCAGCTCTGGAGCCTGCAGCAGGTCTCTGCTGATTTTACGGGTTTTATTTTGGTTCTAATTTGTCTTTAGCTGTTCGCTGTTCTGACAGGGAAGACGGAGGCCGGAGTGATACGAAACCCAACCAAACCACAAGCATGTTGTGTGCAGACGACGTTCTGCAGCTGTGAGAAAAGCAGCTCATCAGACAATCCTCTGATTTATATTTACTCCTAATCTTACCCCGCTGCTAAAGATCTAAACACCTCTTATTAAGGCCGACTGCACTTGCTGTTGGTTAAACCACTGGTTCTGACTCGTTGGGGGGAAACGGTTCTTTTTATGATAAAGTTCATTTCAGAGTGTCGCTGGGGGATCAGAAGTTCCTCTGTGGCTCAATAGGGGGCGCTACAGACCGAATCTCTGCAGCAGCACCGCGCTCCCGGCTGGAACTTTTTATTCATTTGAAATTATTCAACATATTAAAAAAAAAAAAAAAAAAAAAAACGAATGGAAATGAGTCACGTTATAGTTTTTGTCACGAGGATACTGAAGAGTTTCGGTTTGAATGTATTTATTTGGTGCATTTTTGAATTTCTCTAAACTCGGTTTTGTGCTGTAGTTTGATTTCCGTTAAAATAATAACATTAGTGTTTTATGCACGTGGAGTGGATGTGACGTCACCAAATGGCAGCAAAATATTCAAATCAAAATAAAAACGGTCCAAATTCAGTTTTCACGAACTTAAAAGTCTGAATGAATCAAATGATTCATATTGTTGTTGTTTCTTATAAATAACTGATTTAAACAGACAAATAAAATTGATCGGTTTTCTTTAGGCCTACTTTAGATAATGTGGGTTTTTTAAATGAATTCCTATTTTAGATAAATCTGTTTTTTTTTTATCTTTTTCGTGTTTCACATAATTTAGCAAAATGATTTTTCTGCTAAACGGGAAAAGCAACCCCCCACCCCCCACCAACCCCAACACCCCCACCCCACCACCACCCCAAGGATGGAACAGAGAAGTGATGGGTTATTTTTACAGATTCTGATTTTTATTTATTCGGATTATTTATTTATTCTCTGATGATTATTCATTATGTTTCGTTACTTTTAAATATTCTGATTCTTATTTATTCTGTTTCTTTATCCTGATACATTGTTTGTCTGATTCTTTATTCTGATTCATTATTTATTCTGATTCTTTATTCTTATTCTTAATTATTTTGATAATTTTTTTATTCGGATTCTTTTTTCTGATTCTTAATTATTTTGATTCTGTATTTATTCTGATTTATTATTCAGATTCTTTATTCAGATTATTTTTTATTCTGATTCTTTATTTTGATTCTAAATTATTTTGATTCCTTATTTAATCTGTTTCTTTATTTTGATTCTTTATTTGTTCTGATTCTTTATTTATTCAGATTCTTTATTTTGATTCTTTACTTGTTCTGATTCTTTATTCTGATTCTTTATTTATTCTAATTCTTTAATCTGATTCTTAATTATTCTGATTATTTAATCTGATTCTTAATTATTCTGATTCTTTATTCTGATTCTTTATTTATTCTGATTCTTTATTCTGATTCTTTATTTATTCTGATTCCTTATTCTGATTCTTGATTATTTCGATTCATTATTTATTCTGATTCTTTATTTTGATTGCTAATTATTCTGATTCTTTATTTGTTCTGATTCTAATTCAGATTTTTTTATTTAGATTCTTAATAAGTCCAATTCTTTATTCTGATTATTTATTCTGATTCTTTATTCAGATTTTTTATTTTGATTCTTAATTATTCTGAATCTTTATTTATTCTGATTCTTCATTCAGATTTTTTAATTTTGATTCTTTATTTATTCTGATATTTTGTTTATTCTGATTCTTTATTCTGATTCTTTATTTATTCTGATATTCTGTTTATTCTGATTCTTTATTTATTCTGATTCTTTATTCTGATTCTTGAATTATTCTGATTATTTATTTTGATTCCTTAATTATTCAGATTTTTTATTTATTCTGATTATTTGTTCTGATTCTTTATTCTGATTCTTTGTTTTGATTCTTTATTTATTCTGATTCTGTATCCTAACCACAGTGAGGACATTAAGCAGTGGGTTTCTGACTCCGTGTAGAAAAAAAATCTGAAGCCCAAAAGCAGGTTTGAAAGAGCGTTCCCCCCCCCCCCCCCACCCCCCCACCCCCACCCCCGCTCGGTGCGGGGTGAGAGGTGTCAGAAGACGCCAGGTTGGACTGCGCTGCTCCACTAGGGTCTGGAGCCTAGTTGCTATCCAAACACAAATAAACAGAGGGGAACATTGGAGTTAATGATAGAGGAGAGGGGGTGGAGGCGTGTCGGGGGCGGGCTGTGCGCTCCGGACTCCGGGAGCCCTAAAAAGTGAAGAACCGCACACTTCCACCCCCAGCTCCGGACGGGACTCCCACGCTGCTGCTGCTGTCTCCCCTCCAAACTTCTTCTCACAACTTTCCATAACTCGTCACGTGCGCGAGGCTCCGCGCCCGGCTGATGGACTTGGATCCTGGAGCGCGTTTAGCGGCGCTTTATTGGAACTGGTCACGCCTGTAGTTAGTGTGGATTACTGAGTCACCGCGGGACCCTGGGCAGCTGTTTACTGGGTAAGACTGTGTTTGGCTGGGTGCATGTCAGGAACCACTTTGATCTGATGAGAACTCTCAGGGTTCGGCTGATCTGAGTCAGCGTCTCACTAATCGTTGCTCCAGTGTGCACGACATCCCTGGTCTGTGCTCTGGAGCAAGGCATTACCAGGTTCTCCAGGTGAGAGGAGAACAAACCAGCTGCGCTTATGGGCAACAAGTGCCCCCCAGCACCCCCCACCCCGCTGATTTATGCTGCACCTGTGCGGCATTATATTTAACTCCATCGCATGTGACTGCGGAGAAAGCAAAGTCCAGCAATTCCAGGGATTCGTGCAACGAAACTAATGATCTGACTGCAACAAGTACCCGGCAGCCCGTCTGCTCCCGTGCACGCGCGACCTGAGCTCTGCACAACTCCTCCAAGTGTGCGCAAAGCGTTTTCCTCTTGTGCACATTAATAGTTATTAAACCGCGACCTGAATAATTAATCAAACACAGAGAAGTTATTTCTGACTGTTGTATCATCTGCTCGCCGTCGCTCCGCTGGTTTTGCGCCTTTTCTGCAGCTTTGCGCATTCCCCTGCCTCAGACTGGGAACCATCATAACGGAACCAGGCCGGTTCCCGTACGCTGCCCCGTTCATCCCAGCTCGCTTCTAGTTTTACATGAAAACGCAATCGCGCGGGAGGCAGAGCTTAATGAAACTGTCCCCATTAATAAACCCGCTCTATTTCAACTCAAATGTTTCTGCTCTCGTGTTTTAATATGTGGTTTGCGGTGATGAATACGTCCTGCTGCTGCGTCTCGTGACCGTCTCCAACACCTTCGTGCCGTTTTAATATGAAGACTAATTTGTTTAATTGACATTGCAGCGAAGCGCAGTCGGGTTTGTGTTATCAACTGGTGCTCTGGTCTCATTAAATCAGGCCAGACTTCCTCCCCTGTGCCATCAGGCTGATGAGAGTATATGTGCTTTCACATGAAACCAGAATTTGTCATGTCGCCTCATCTCATCGCCTGATTCTGTCTGCCTTCCAGGGTTTCCAGCGCCTTTTCTGCAGAGGTCTGAGCCGAAATGGGGAGCAAAGCCCTGCACGCTCCGATCCCCCTGCACCCAGCCCTGCAGCTCACCAACTACTCCTTCTTGCAAGCCGTCAACACTTTCCCCGCCGACCAGCTGCAGGGGCTGTACGGCCTCAGCGCGGTGCAGACCATGCACATGAACCACTGGACGCTTGGCTATCCGCACATGCAAGGACTGAGGTCAACGATCACGGCGGCCGCCCAGGGTCTGGTGGACCCCAGGATCCCCTTCCCGGCGTTGCCTTTCACAGCCGCCGCGCAGCTCTTCCACCCGAAACAAGCCTCCGTGACGCACGGCATGCCCTTGTTGCACAAGGACAGACCCAGGTTTGACTTTGCCAACCTGGCGCTCGCCGCCACTCAGGAGGACCCGCCAAAGGCTGCGGATCTGGCGAAGCTGGCCTCGGGACTCGGGGGGACCATCTCCGAGCTGAGCAAGCTGTCCCCGGACAGAAAGCCCACGCGGGGCAGGCTCCCGTCCAAAACCAAAAAGGAATTTATTTGCAAGTTTTGCGGGAGGCATTTCACCAAGTCCTACAACCTCCTGATTCACGAACGGACCCACACGGACGAGCGGCCCTACACCTGCGACATCTGCCACAAGGCCTTCCGAAGACAGGACCACCTGAGAGACCACAGGTAGGACCCACCCCCAGTGCCGTATCCATGTTACTGTAAACACCTGATTCTGTGGTCCTGTTCATGGTCTAAGCACCACGCATGTTCATGCTTTACACTCGTGCACCTGTATGACGTCCGCGCACGTGCACACGCTGATGACGTGTCATTTCTGACCCACAGATACATCCACTCCAAGGAAAAACCCTTCAAATGTCAAGAATGTGGGAAAGGCTTCTGTCAGTCTCGAACTCTAGCCGTGCATAAAACCTTACACATGCAGGTAAGCCCAGAAAATCCACGTGACCGTGAGCTCAAACACCTGCTGACGGTGTATCTGCTGCATGCACGGGGACCACCAGCGTGTGTTAGTTAGGTGTGATGTTGTGATGGAGATTCTGTAACTGAAGGAATAATCCTTTGCTTGCTTTAAATCTAAACAGGAGTCTCCCCACAAATGCCCCACATGCGGAAGAACCTTTAATCAAAGAAGTAACCTGAAAACTCACCTTCTCACCCATACAGACATCAAGCCCTACAGCTGTGGCCGCTGCGGAAAGGTGTTTCGGCGCAACTGTGACCTGCGACGGCACAGTTTGACGCACAGCCCGCATCAGGACCACTAGCCCGGACACTTACTAAATAAATCAGAGACACGGACAGTGGGACAAATCAGTCTCCAAAAAGACTGCTTTCCTCAGGAGGACACGTTTACGTCAGGACATTTTTACCGAGGGATTAGTTTGCGCTGCAGCGAGGAGGAGGAGGAGGTCCATCCTCATCCTCACCTGTAAATATGAAGATCATGTACAAAAAGTTTTATTATGATGGTCTGTGATTTGGAAGGTGATGAATATGGGGCGGGGAGAATGTCATAAGTTTATGTTAAATTGTATTTTAGAAATAAATATTTCCACGACACATGGAGTCGTCCTGGTGTGCGTTTTTATTCCAGCTCATCTGGAACCCTGACCTGGAGGAGAAGGCTGTCTCACACCTCCATCTGATCAGCGCTCATTACTGGAGAAGCACTTTCCACTAAAAAGTCCACGTCATCGCCTCCGTCACACACACCTGGTTATTATGATCAGACACACCTGCCTCACCTCGAACCAAAGCGTTATCTCCTGAGCTGTTCTGGTGCTCTTTCCCCAAATCATTTAAAATGGTTTAAAACTAAAAGCTGATTTGCTTTCTGGATGGTCTGAAGCAGGGTTAGGCCCCTCAGACCACCACACCGTCCTGTTGTTGTTGTTGTTGTTGCTGAGACCCATCTCATCTCTGCGCTTGGCCTCCAGGCCCGTTCTGCTCCACTGGTTTTAGTGGAAATTTAAACATATTTTATAAGACTCGCTGGTTCTACCTGATACTGGTGGTTATCTCAAAAAATTATTTATCGGCTATCAACAAGGTCCGAGGCATGTGACGTCACAAACACAAAATACTTTAAAATGCTGCGCGCGGAACATCAGCAAGTTCCGTTCTTTTATGTAGAGATGGATTTACACACACACACACACACACACACACACACACACACACACACACACACACACACACACACACACACACACACACACACACACACACACACACACAATCACAAGTACTGAATTTAAGTGATAAATGAAATGATATTTTTGAACGAACATAATATAACACAAGTATACCAACACTTGAAACATCTAACCACACGATGTTAAACGATATTATACTGACATGATAATAATAATTATAATTATAATAATCTATAAATAAATTAATAATAATTATAAATAATAATAATAATAATAATAATAATAATAATAATAATAATAATAATCATGATAATAATAATAATAATAACGCATTTTATTTAAAAGTGCCTTTCAAGGGACACAAGGACATTTTACAACAATAAAATAACAACAAAGAAACCAAGTTAAAAACAGCAAAAATCACACACAGAAGCCTAAAAACACAAACTAGAAGATGGAAAAGGTGACACTAGCAGTATGCAGTCTGAAACAGGTGGGTTTTGAGTCTAGATTTAAAGGAGGAGAGCGAGTCAGATAATAATAATAATAATAATAATAATAATAATAATAATAATAAGTATTTATATTTTTTGTTTCATCTATCCGTTCAACAAGACTATTTCCTAAGAACAGGTTCTGAGTTTTTGGCTCTAACTCTGGTATAAAAACAACAAGAAACACACGTTAAGACGTGTATCAATCCGTCTCATTAGTGATTTATTAGCAGCTACATGTGGAGAGTTGATGCAGACTTTCGGGTTGGTTAGGCAGAGAAATTCTAAGTTGTTGTTGGGGATCATTAAGATTTCAACAAAACAACAGGAACATTTTTTCTTTTCTTTTTCTGCGGATTCAGTGAAAGTTTGTGTTAATAATAATAATAATAATAATAATAATAATAATAATTGTAATAATAATAATAGTAATTATAATAATAATAATAACAATTGTAATAATGATAATAATAACAATAGTAATAATAATAATAACAATAATAGTAAAAATAACAATAATATTAATATAATAACAATAGTAATTATAACAATAATAATAATAATAACAATTACAGTAATAACAAGAACAATAATAATAATAACAATAATAGTAACAGTTATCCTGACCTTGACGCTGTCTCTCCTGCATACCACGGTGACCCAGCTGCTGTCAGAAGCCACAGACTCACACAGGCCCAGATGGTTTGGGCCAGGAGTGAACATGAGCCGTGGCCTGTATGTAGACTGTGTCCTTATCTAACTAACAAGCTCCATTTCTTTATAGGACCTGCTTGTTGACTCCTTTCATTAAAAGAGACACAGGGTGAAGAAGCTGGGGTTATGGCATCAACAGCTTTCATTTTGATTATTTCATTCCACATTGTCCAATAACTACAGTACGCTTTCTGAATCCAGACCATTATTGTCTAAATATCAAAGACATGACTGGATCTAAAGTCTTCCAGGAAACTGATCTGACGCCACTTGTTCAAGTGGATGTGAGATAATGCATTGGACTACTTAATAATAAGAAGGTTTTCAGTGATCCTGAAAGGAAAAAAGACCCATGAAGGATATGCTTTCCTTCTTTTGTTTTCCCTTCAGAGTTCATTGTTCATGTCATAAAACTAATTCCCAATAGGCCTTTTTCTTCTCACAATATCCCTTTGAAGTTATCTGGAAAACTCCAGTAAGCCCTCCTATTAAACACTATTTACACAGCGGATAGACCGTTTTAAAATATTCATTATTATTATTATCATTTGTAGTGTTTACATCCGGATCTTATAAAATTAACATAAATAGACTAGTCTTTTGTGCAACACATTTTAAATAACATGTAATTTAAATCATTACACACCTTTATCCATGCAAGAATAGGAAACGTCTTTTATTACGACTAGTTTCATAAAATCTTCTAACCAACAGAGTCAAAGCAGACAGCATGAAGGTCTCAAAAAGGCAGTTTGAATATATATATATATATATATATATATATATATATATATATATATATATATATATATATATATATATATATATATATATATATATATATATATACACATATATATACACATATATATATACATACATATGTGTGTGTGTGAATGCAGCGATTCTTTTCGGTGTATAAGTCGATGGTGCATTCCCGACACAGCTCAACTCAGCGGGCTGACTTGTGAAGTTCATTTTTCCTACGGTCCCAAATGCAACAGTGTTAATACGGAAGCCGTGATGGTCTTTGCTGATGACGTTCTGAGATGCGGCTAACTAGATAAAATCGTTTTTAAACGTCAAGTCCAAGAAACAGGATAGAAACGGGAATCGAGTAAGTAATGTGTTTTTTCCCTTTTACTACCAGGAGTTCAACTTTAGGACGGAGATTTCGATCCGTAGCCTAGCTTCTTATGCTAGGTGGTGTTTGTAGCTTTACTGACAGTTAGCTAAAGCCAGCCTCTTTCTCTCTCTTTAGCTATTTTTCTGAAAGTAATGTGTTACTACACTTAGATACAGCTTTATGACCTCCATGTTTATCTGTAAATTATGTCGCTGATATGATTATCTCCTCCTAGTCCATGGTTATGCCAGTAGTTAGCTAGCTAGCAACCAGACATTTAGTTAACTAGTGTACAACCGCTAGCATTAATGTTAATTCCAGTCAAAGTGACTTGAAACATATGGTGACATAACTATTGTTTTAATAGACTACGCTGTTCTGGTTTCTCAAACAGACTGCACGATCTGGTAGCATTTAAGGCACCTTCGGTTCCATTTAGCTTTAGCTTGACTCCACACTTGAATGTGATAGTTTAGGTGTGATTTGTCATAGCAGAAAGACGCACAGGTGTGTTCCCACACCTGTAATTATAACCGACTCTGCACCAGTCCCAGTGTTGACAGTAGAGCTGCTGCAGACGTGACACACTTGAAATGAGTTCAGCTGTAATATTTATAACTATTATCCATGTTCTTTGTGCTTCGACATTCCTAATTAGCTTTCTGATTGTATCAAATAACTGTCCCCGTAACAATGTTATCAGCTTAAATAGCCTTTTCTTTCCTTTCCAGTGTCTGGCTTGTGTTACTAACCGTGAAAAGATGCTGGAGTCTTACGTCACACCGCTCCTGATGAGCTATGTGAACAAGTACATCAAGAACCTGAAGCCCTCTGACTTGCAGCTCTCTCTCTGGGGAGGGGATGTGGTGCTCAGCAAGCTGGACCTGAAACTGGATGTACTGGAACAGGTACGCTATGTTGGATATAACATGTAGTTTGCTGATATGTTCTTTTAGATCAGACTAAGGGTTATTATGATCATCTAGATTCTCCATGTACAGTCTGGAGGATGTGATTGGGTTACAAGTAATAATAGTCCTGCAAAATGACATTTTGGTGTTTTCTAAGAGCAGCTGGCGTTTATGGCAACTCTAAAAAGAATCTGTTTTAGATTAAAAAAATGACTTTTATCCAGTGGTTCATTAGCTGTTTAGCTACCAGACATGGTTGAGTTCATGGCAAAGTTTAAATGAAATGCTTTTAGTGTGTGGAAGGGTCTGTTAGCGGTGGCAGCCATCTTGACTAGAGTTGTCTCAAAAAGTTAATCACTTGTAAATGTACACGTGCAGATATCCTTCCGAGAGCTTTGCTAAAACTGGTCCAGCTGGTCGTGAGATCATTTGCTTACACTACAGGCAAAGGTACAGACACTGGCAAAAACATTATAGCTGGTCTTTTGGTGGCAGCCAATAAGAAGTAGTCTATAATACTAGAAACTGCATCTTGTTCTTAATGTATTTCATAAAAAGTGCTGTGGAGGAAAACGGAGAAACCAGCAAAGACACAGAAGCAGAAACAGTCCAGAGTTTGCTATTAAAGTGTAACTACAGGCAGATCAGCTAATGCTATTTCCGTGGAATGAGAGGGTCATGGTAGAGTCTATAAGCTTCACTGATGTAGGGCTGCCACAAACAACTATTTTAATAGATTATTTTAATATAAATGCTACGGTCAGATGGAGGTAGGCGCCTAAAACCAAAAATGACTTGTGTTCACCAGAGGCATGGTGGCAAGGTTGAAGAGCTTCATCTTCCAATCTTAACTCAGGAAAATGCAGAAAAATGAACCCACACGTCAGCAGTCAGGGACCATGGACAGCTCTGTGGGTCTGCTGTACCGTAAAGATAACAGATATTAAAGTTAGTTTATTTACCAGATTAATAATTCTGTTATATCTAATAAAGTAGGTTAAGATTTAACACAAAGAAAATGTTTTATGCTTTAAAATATATTAGTTTCAGTCAGCAAACTTTTTATTTCATTATAAAATGTTTTATATTCTGTTTATTTTATTTGTGTCCAGAGAGAAACACACACACACACACACACACACAGACACACAGACACACAGACACACACACACACACACACACACACACACACACACACCATAAAAGTTGCTTCATATTACTTTTCCATCAGCCTGGTAGGTGGTTGTCATGGTAACCTGGGTTGAGCTGCTTGATCATCTCTGAAAGCTTGATACCGACCATGGACAGGAGTCTGGTGACCAACATGCTCACAACGGCCTCGGTCAGGACGCTAGCTTGCTGAGGTGTGCACGTAACAAACTGGTCCACTGGAGAGGAGCACTGTTATTAACACTAACGTAGCGGGATGAAATCAATCACTAGTGTTTGTAATTAGAGCAAAAATACGAACGTGGTCTAAAGGTGATCAAATCAGCACTGCTACTGGAGTTGCTACAGCTATGTTAGCAGCTAATGGAGGTAAACTTACCGAGGCGACTCTTTGTTTTCCACCATGACGTGCTTCCTCTGAAGGTGCTCGTGCATCGCCGATGTGCTCCCGTGAAAGGAGCGTTTCACTCTACAGGTCTTTCTTTTGTCTTTGTATAACACTCCCAAACTTTTGAGTTACGTTGTCAACTCGCCATGTTCTCATTCTCCGGTGATGAAGGCTGATCTGAATGGCCACTACTGCGCATGCGCCTCGGAGCTGAAGTGACGGCTGACCCGGATGGCGACTACTGCATGTGGGTTGAGCAGAGAGGCGGGAAGCAACTGCCAAACATGCCGCAGCGGGCGAGAAATATTTTTTTATAAAACGACACGTTGACTATTAAATAGTCGACTAATTTGTTGTTCTACATGGATGTGACGAGTCGACGAATCGTGGCAGCCCTAAACTGATGATGACGCCGAACAGCCGCCCAGAGTTTCCAGTTAGTTTCACCGAACTGGGAACCTGAAGACAGACCTGCACGAACACAGAGGAACTGTCGGATGGATGAGCTCACATGTTTGTAAGCAGCACTCAGTTTGCTCAGTGTGTAAAATGTGTCCAGGCTTAGCGGCTGCAGAACACGCCCAAAGAGGCGTCGTACCTGTGCTGCAGTGGTGCATGGTCACGCCTCGTCCACGTCACCAGTTCTTCTAGCAGGATGTTCCACACACACGTTTCTGTTGTCAACATAATGAAGCCAGCAGTAGACCAGTTACTGTGTTCTTAATCTGATAGATTATTTACAATCTGATGCCTGAACCTGCTCAAGGATGAAACTGCTTTAGATAAAAGGGTTAGGGTAACCTACATTTATATTGTTACTTGTGCTTAATTGTGTGGATTAGTTCTGTCTAACACAAGCAAACTCACTAATCTTTGACAAAAGGCTTTAGTTATTGTTTCTTCATCACTCCGTGCTCATCTAAATGTCTCCTCACATGGACTCGAGCTGAACAAGGATGGTTCAAGCATACGAAAAGTCACTTTAGTGACACAAACGTTAAGGAGTGAACCGTGTGTGTGTGTGTGTGTTTGTGTGTGTGTGTGTGTGTGTGAGAGAGACAGCATCGAGACTGAAGTAAATAAAATAACTCCGTCTGCACATCAGATGTTCTGTTTGGGATAAGTAGCCTCGGGTGACCTTGCACCAGGCTTATCCACAGACTACGTTTCTAACTCTGATCTAAGCACTGAGCATTTTTTGTTGATGACCTCTTTATGTGTCAGGAGTTGAAGCTGCCCTTCACATTCATGAGTGGTCACATCCACGAGTTACGGATCCACGTCCCCTGGACCAAGCTGGGCTCGGAGCCGGTTGTGATCACCATCAACACCATGGAGTGCATCCTGAAGCTCAGAGATGGATCCCAGGTTAGTGTGCTGTTGGGCCAAGAGAAGGCTGTCTGTAAAATGTTCCCATCAACCTTCCTCTGTGTTCCCTAGACACCTTTTATCTAGTTTATGACCTTTTCAAAAGCGTTCCATAACTATTCTAATCCTTAAAGCCAAAGCTGCAACGACTGAGGCCAGACAGAAAACTCCTGCTAGGACCGATGTTAAACACAGCTGAGCCTTTATGGAGAACCCAACCATGACACAGCTGAGTCTTTATGGAGAACCCAACCATGACACAGCTGAGCCTTTATGGAGAACCCAACCATGACACAGCTGAGTCTTTATGGAGAACCCAACCATGACACAGCTGAGTCTTTATGGAGAACCTAACCATGACACAGCTGAGTCTTTATGGAGAACCCAACCATGACACAGCTGAGCCTTTATGGAGAACCCAACCATGACACAGCTGAGTCTTTATGGAGAACCCAACCATGACACAGCTGAGTCTTTATGGAGAACCCAACCATGACACAGCTGAGTCTTTATGGAGAACCCAACCATGACACAGCTGGGTCTTTATGGAGAACCCAACCATGACACAGCTGAGCCTTTATGGAGAACCCAACCATGACACAGCTGAGTCTTTATGGAGAACCCAACCATGACACAGCTGAGTCTTTATGGAGAACCCAACCATGACACAGCTGAGCCTTTATGGAGAACCCAACCATGACACAGCTGAGCCTTTATGGAGAACCCAACCATGACACAGCTGAGTCTTTATGGAGAACCCAACCATGACACAGCTGAGTCTTTATGGAGAACCCAACCATGACACAGCTGAGTCTTTATGGAGAACCCAACCATGACACAGCTGAGTCTTTATGGAGAACATAACCATGACACAGCTGAGCCTTTATGGAGAACCCAGCCATGACACAGCTGAGTCTTTATGGAGAGCCTAACCGTGACACACCTGAGTCTTTATGGAGAACATAGCCATGACACAGCAGAGCAGCACTTGTTCTGATTTTATTCTGAAAGCTCACACTCAGTAAAACAATGAGCAGTAATAATAACCAGCGTTCCCTCGTTCCAAAGCTCTTTTAGAAATGAAACGTATCTTAAATATGAAGAGTTTCTCTGTAACTTCAACTTTAAACAACAACCTTTGATTTATTTTTGATTTAAAGACATAAAACAAGGAATGAACCAGTGTTGATGAGGGATTCTTGTTAAACCAGCTCAGTGGCTTAGTGTTAGAGTGGGACTGGGAGGTCCTACCAAAGACAACACCTCTCTGCTTTGACACTCAGCTATAAGGGGTCAGTCTGGGGTAGGGTTGTCACAATACTAAAATTTCAAACTTGATTCGATACTTGAAAAATAACTCGATGCTCGATTTCGATACTATTTAAAAACACCAATTTATTGAACAAGTTTATTCGAAAAATAACATTCCTCGATTTATATTGCAAAAATTAAATGTTAAGAATTAAGTGTATTAAGTGCTTAAACCTTTCAAGTGTCAGCATTTTTTAAAACGTGCATACAAAAACTGGCGAAAGTTAACACTTTAAATCATGAATTGTCTCACTATATATACACTATTTGCAGAGTGATGTTTTGCTGCTTAAACTCTGTTTAAGGTGCATTTTTGTCATAAGATGTAATGCCATATGTTTTGTTCTGTACTTTTGAACAACTCTGTTGGTCAATAAAGGGAGAAAACGAATTTCTCCAAAGTAGGACAAAGGTACATCTACCGGTAATCTTAATAAAAACAGATTGGCGCACGGCAGTGACGTCATTAAAAGCGCCGGTTAATAAGCCGCAGCTAGTCTGTTTACGCCTAGAAATCCCAGACCCGCTCCAAACGAACAGGGGAATCACGTTAATGATTCCTAACAAAACCTTTCGACATGAAGACGTTTTGGTGCAGATAATGTCTTATTTCGAGGCTGAACCATGGGTGCCCGTCCGCACCCGTTATATGGATATACACTGACGGCGATTCGCCGATGGATCTACGGTAAATACCCCGGGGAATCCAAGTAGCACCAAAGTTGTCAGCGTGAGTAAACAAACGTACTGCATGCTAGAAATTAAGTCCGGGTTGCAATAAACAGGAGTTTTCTTTTAAGCACATAAGCGTGAATATACAACTACGTGTCGGACTTCGTATGCTAATTAAGTTGGGCTGTGAAGCGCCTCCCAAATTCACTGTTTATGTTTTTGTTTATTTATTTGGCAGACAAAACTTGGATCGGAGACAACTCGCGTGGGAAATTGCAATGTAGCCATGCGACGTCTTCTTCTTCTGTTTGTCTGGGAGGCGGAGGCTGCTTTACGGCATCTGGCTGTCGTGCGTGTCGGTGTACTTAACGAAGGCTGTATAATAGTCCATAATATCGATACCACAGGGATGGAATATCTAATTTAGATACCACTTTTAGCATCGATTTATATCTAGGCATCGATTTTTTTTTGACAACACTAGTCTGGGGTCTTCAACCACCAAAGTTCCTGAACGCAGCCACAGCTGCAGCCCACCACTCCTCACAGGGATGGGCCACATACAGGGGACAAGGTTCACCAGTGTGTGACGACTAATGGGACTTTACCTTTAAAACATGATGGCGTGCTGTTGATTGGACTATAAAGCATCATTGGAACGATGACAGCACTGTGCTGGTGACTGGGTCGTATCTGATATGTAGCGGCTTATTTTCACATTTATTTTAGGATTGCTCTGTTGTAACGGTAAGAAATGCTGCCGTTCCCCTAAGAATGATAAAGTTAAAGGTTGTGCTATTTTACCACATCACTGTTAGGGCTGCATAATATTTCCAAAATGATTTAAAATATGTGCTCATTTTTTTTACTGCTGTAATGTTGTGTCAGCTTTAGCTCTCCCTTTTAATGCACGTTAGTTGCATGATGATCAGTAAAATGCTGATCTTTGAGGAGGGGATGTCCTATCTTAAACTCACCCTATCAGGCTGCAGGTATGAGATGATACTCTTTTCCTGGAGAGAGTCCTCCTGTGATTCACTTCTCACAGGGGAAGGGTTAGGGTGAATTTTCTGTTTATGAGGCTAACAAGTAGTCATCGGTTTAGTTTTATAGTGTTAGAATAGAAATGCTTAGTTTTGCATAGAAACTAACTTCTATGTTTGCCACCCATGCAGCTTGTGTAACAGAGCTCTGGCCCTTATATGGGAAAGCTGAAGTCTCAAGGCCAGATGTCCCAGAAGAAACACATTTCCAGGGAAGTCAATTACAGCTAATTATACTGACTGCAGCAGAAAGATTTGTAACACATGAGCTTGCGCTGCCCAGAACTAATAGTAAATATCATAGCATGCAGGTGGCTACTGCTCATGCGATCAGGTTTCCACTTGAGTGGAAATTTAAATGTGTTTTTTATGCTTCGTACACAGCCTCAGGCCATGTACCCACACTGCCATAGTCTCTAAACAACTATTTGTTACAGATGTTTTCTCAAAAGCTTCCAGTGAAGAGAGATTTTTGGGAATTGCAAATGACATTTGGACAAATTATTCAGTGGTATGTACACCCAAGAGACATCATTTGGAGTAAAGCCAGGCTTACATGAGAAGCCTTTCTAACATGTGGTATTTAAATGAAGCACTACTCTTCTCCCCAGTTCAGGAGGCAGAAGGAGGACTTCCTTTGTTCTCTTGTAGGTGTAAATAAAAACAAGCGCCAGTTAGCCCAACAGGACGCCTGGACCTCTGAACCTTAAGTTGATATACATTGAATCAAAATCAGAATTTGACTTGATGGAGGCATCGGTTCATCCAGCAGATGGACCAGGACATTTCACCCTGAAGCTCTCATGCGACTTGTGTGACAGCCCAAAAGACGTTGTGCGTATGGAAAGTCTTACATTCTGTTTAGTAGATCTCTGGCGTTTCCTCTGTCCAGAAGAGACAGGAACCTTGTGGTGTGCCTTGCACGGCCAACGTGTGGAAATGATAAATGATATAATTAATATGGTTTGTTTTCATAATTACAGTTACAGCCCAGGTTCTGGCCTGTAAAAACATCCGCACAGCTTTTGAAGTTCATTAAGGGCTGCGTAATTTGACCGGAATTATTTGGACCTTTTGAATGTTCTCGATTCCCCCGAGAGGAACTGGGTAGTATTAGGGATATTCAGACTGGCCAACAGGCCCATCTGCAACGCACCAAGAGCAGCTCACAATTAGTTTCCAGCAGAAGTGGAAATGTACGCGTTTAGCAGCAGTGGGAGATTACAGCTCCCGCTGACAGTGTAATTGCCTAAAATAAGCTGTAATAAGTATTGTAGTGCAGTGAGCATGATAATGTTAAACTTTCATTTAGCAAACCGGAGCCCATTTACAAACAAAACATTTCTTTTGTGCTATGTTATTGTGGCCTCGTTAGAATTGGTGCAGATCTTAAAAGTTTCCTCTGACTTATGAGTGTGAAAGATGTTTATTTAGTTTCCTGTTCAGTTCAAAAGAGTCAAACACAAGTTAAAATGGCTTTGTTTTTTGTGAATCGTCGTGAGTTACGCTGGAACCCTTCTGGATTCACCACTTGCGTAACTTATTAGATGTTCTCCGGGAGTGTCCGGGAGCTCTTGTTGTGTGAGATCCGTCAGAGGCTTCCAGTTCTGCTTAGGTGTAAGATACTGAGCATATTGTATAAAATAAGTCTTCCTTAGAAAAGCTATCAAAGACCTTTGGCTTAATTTTTATTGGGGATGCACCAAAATGTTTCAGCCAAAAAGGACCCAAAAGAGCATTTTCGGTTTTCGGCCGAAACACTACAGTCAGCAAAAGAGGCCGTCCGGCGAACCACGATTTTGTTTCATCTCTCATGTGGCAACTTGCTCTTTGCTGCATAAAAATCATTCATTTGTACAGAATTCAAAAGTAGTTTTTTCCTCTTTAGTAACGCTGTTTTACTAGTCTGGCCTGCCAGACTCGTCTTCTGGTTAGTTCTGCACAGAGAGAGAGTCTGCTAACTCACAGGCAGAG